TTCAATTATTTCTGATGATTTTTTTTCAGCTTTTCCTTTTTCCTTTCAAAAAGCTCCAAAGGGAAAGACAAACCAGTGAGTAAAGGGTAGAATCTGTATTGGGAAGAAGACTGACCGGAGTTCAGTCTCCGGGACTTGTAGGGTAGAAGGAGAGGACTGATTCCCACAGGGTCTTCTTAACCTTCACAGAGGACTGCTCTCTTCTCTCTCTTTTCTTTCCCCCCTTTCTCTCCCCTCTCTCCCCCATCTCTTCTTCACCTACAAAATAAATAAATGGAGCAATTAACAACAATAAAATGTATATGTATGTACCCGCTGGCACCTTGTCATTGCAGAGAACTCTGTCTTCGGGTCTCTGCTGTTGTAGATCTGCCAATTCTTCTGTTAGAACGTCAGTTTAAACAGACTCTCCAGGGTCTCCACTGGCTTTCAGAATATTTCATAATGACCAACATGGAATATTAGTGAAAATGTTGCAGAAAATGCATGCGCACAGATAATAACATAAATGTCTGAAATACACACTATATTCCATGAAGATATTTTCCTCTATGTGATATGACATAATGTAAAATGTTCTGTTTTATTCCCTTCCTACAGGGCTGGGATCTACAGTTGAAAAACACTATTTTAGCTAGTACATGTCTTTGTAATCAGAGCACTTTGGAAGTGGAGGCAGAAGGATCAGGTAATCAAGATCAACTTCAGCTGCATGGTGAGCTACAGGAGACCTCGTCTGAAAACACTAAGACTAACTCAAACCAAACCAAACCAAACTACTTGACTTTCAAGGAAACAAAGAGAAGCCCCCAAATCTAGACTTACGTATTCAAAATTAAGTGTGATAAATGTTCAAAGTGAGATCTCCCTCATGGCTTTTCTCTCTCTTTTTTTTTTTTTTACATATCAGCTCAGTTACTATCTTGGTGGCCTAGCCCAGTCTCCTAGCTTTAAAAACACATTTACCAAAGATTCAAATGGATAACTTCACCCTTCCACAAGCTATTATCAAGGTCTCGGAATGATTCCATGTGGCTGAGCTAAGGACCCTTGATTCAGCTAGTGAGTCCTTATTCTACTTGTAGTCTTGAAAGGCTGCAGACTAACAGAATTGCAATTGGCCTTCACTTAAGCTACACCCCGCTTCTTTCTCAGAAACAACCGTCTTAGAAAAATAAGTTTCATTCTTCTACTTTTAAGTCTTCCAGTCACACCATGTTTGAGGGCCTGCCTAACATTTGAGAAAGCACTAAGCCAGTTAAAATTGTATCACTAGGCAAAGAAAATTTATCAACCATCCAAACAAATTAAGTCAAATGAGCATGAAAAAAAACCTGTTTAAAATGCATATGCTAAAAAATTAAGATATAGGCCAACAAATGTTAAACACAATGTAAATTAAAATCAGGCATTAAAATGCCTGCTAAAATTAATACTTAAGATTGTTATAGCAAAAGAAGCACAAAACCACATGGGATTTATATTGAGGAATTTTAAAAAGGTGAAATTATTTGTTTTGCTGTCACCTATGAAAGAAAAAGAAAGCAGAAATTCAGAAATCAGCAAATTAGCTGGATATAGATATCAATATAATTCTTACATGTTATCTGGAAGAGGTAGCAAAAAGCCATGAAAAAAAAAAAAAAAAAAAGAAAGAAAGAAAACCTATAAATGGGAATAAAAAATTTATTCAGGCATGGTGGTGTACACCTTAAATCCCAGCCTTAGGGAGGCAGAGGCAGAGGCAAGTAAATTTCTATGAATTCAAAGCCAGCCTGGTTGGCAAAGTGAGTTCTAGGACAGCCAAGGCCACACAGAGAAACCCTGTCTTGAAAAAAATTTTTAAAGTACATAGTTTATGTGGAGAGAATAGTAGATGCAAAAATAGATTCTAAATCTTATTATATAAGAAGCTTATAAATAAGAGTCTATGTTAACCCAGTGAAGGAAATGAATGGATTATTTTAATGATTTTGGTACAGCTAAATCTAAAATAAACTCTAAAACAAACATTAAATAAATTATGTTATTTATAGATTAGAAACTAAGGGTTTTTGTTTGTTTTGTTTTGTTTTTTCAGTCCTGGAGATTGAACCAGGATCTCACACATGCTAAGCAAATGTTCTACCACTCAGCTACATGCCAGCCCTCCCCACTTTCAACTTTCTATTTTGAGGTGGGGTCCTGCTAATTTGCTCATGGTGGTTTCAAAATCTCACTCTGCAACCCAGACAGTGCACGAATTTGGGATCATCCTGCCTCAGTATCCCAAGTAGACCTGTGCACCAAGCCTATCTGAGCTTAAAAAGCAGTATCCTTTATTGTTGTTGTTGTTGTTGTTTTGTTTTCTCCGTGCAGCCTTGGCTGTCCTGGACTCAATTTGTAGACCAGGCTGGCCCTGAACTCACAAAAGATCCACCTGCTTCTGCCTCCCTGAGTGCCGGGATCAAAGGTTTGCACCACGACACCTGGCTAAAATGCAATATTCTTAAACATCTAGGCGACCACACAAACAGTTGAAGCAATAGTTTCTTAATCATAATTGGAATTCCAATTATTATTAATTATTATTCTTATATGTATAGCTAGCACTTACAAATAGTATTCAAAATATTACATATAATGTGCATTACACATGGAGATAAAGAGAAGAAAAGATCAAAGTTGCAACACTGTGTATGGTGGTGGCACACACCTTTAATCATAGCACTGGGGAGGTAGACATGAAGTCCAACCTGGAAGGCAAAGTGAGTTCCAAGATAGCCAAGGCTACACAGAGAAACTGTCAAAAAAGAAATGAAAGGGAAAGAAAGAAAGAAAGAAAGAAAGAAAGAAAGAAAGAAAGAGGAAAGAGAAAGAAAGAAAAAGAAAGAGAAAAAAAGAGAGAAAGAAGAAAAGAAACAGAAAGGAGGAAAGAGAGAAAAAGAGAAAGAAAAGAAAAAGAAAAAAAAAGAGAAAGAAAAAGAAGAAAGAAAAAAGAGAGAAAGAAGAAGAAAGAGAAAGAAACAAAGAAAGGAAGGAAAGAAAAAAGAGCATTGTGTGCAATGCTGGTGTTAAAAAGAAAATCATTCTCTCCTATATTGAAAACCACAATAGAGGCAACAGAAGAGATAGAACGCTTGTTTTTGCAGAGAACCTTGGGTGGTTGTTAGTTGCTCCTACATGGTAGCTCACAACCATCTGTAACTCTGCTTCCAGAGCATGTACACAGTACACACACATACATGTGGGAAAAACACTAACACGCGTAAGAATAAACATATCTAAAATAAAACCAATAATGGAACAAGAAGACAGATCACTGAAAAAACAAGAAACACAAGCAAGCAATTCCTAAAGCCAACAAAGATTAAAAAAAAAAAGTAGATGCTAGTGGTTAAGATAATTTTCATCAAAAATAACTGAAGGATGTACTTTAGACTGCAAAAATATTAATGAGTCCACAGTGAAGAGGAGAAGCTGAAACTGACACTTCTGGAAGTTGAGCTGTTCTTAGAATAAGTCATTTACTAAGATTTGTAAAATATACTTTATAATTAGCAATATGGATGGAGTCTTATTTGTTGCATCATGTTCAGTTTAGTGCTTACCAACAGATTAACAAAAAGACCAAAATAGCTCATGTGAAAAAAAAAAAAAAAAAATATATATATATATATATACATATATATATATATATATATATACAAAACAAAAAACAAAATCCCAACTTTTACGGTTTACAACAAAACCAAGTCAGGCGCCATGGCGCACACCTGTTATCCCAGCACTCTGGGAGGCAGAGGCAGGTGGATCTTTTTAAGTTCCAGGCCAGCCTGATCTACAAGGTGAGTCCAGGACAGCCAAGGCTACACAGAGAAACCCTTTCTCAAAAATCAAAACCAAAACAACCAATCAACCAAACTATCCCTTAATTTGTTTTAAGACACCCTATAGCTGTGTAGCCAAAAATGACAATTTCAGGATCCTTTAGGTTTGACCTTCCATGTATTTGTGACAGGTCTTGGACGCTTGACTGTCTCAAGTTCTTTTCAAAGAGAAAAACAAGATGTCTAAATGTGCACACTTCTCCGTGTGTTAACATCTTTACAAACCAGTAGTCAAATACAGTAAAAATCAACCAACAAAAAACTAAATTCAGGGCCGGCAAGATGGGCTGGGAGAGTTAAGAGGGACTTGCCAGCAAGCAAGCCCTGTGGATGACTTGGACCCAAATAGTGGAAGAGAACCAATTTCAAGTTGTCCCCCAACCTCCAACAGAAGGGCACCCGCCCAGGGCAGAGTAGGGGAGGCAGCAGTCCAAAGACACAAGTGGCAACGCAGCGAAATCTACAAAGTCTTCAAAGTGCCTTTGAACACTGAACGGTGAAGTTCCCAGCACTACGTGGGAGATGAGCCAATCAAGAGCTCAAATACCACGCTCTGCACTTCCAACACCGAGCCTTCAAGCACCCAGCAGTCCTAATTCGTAACCCCATCTTTTGGACCTGATTTTAAGAAAACAACAGGCATGTAAACTTTGTCCTGACCATATTCCATATGCTCAGTGCTGCAGCGCACGCAAGGCACTGCTTAGGGACCTGTGTTCTCGGCCACTTACCTGGGAGGACCACCCAGCCCAGGACCCTGATCCCCGGAAAACTACGGTTAGATGGACCACACCTGGAGGCCAGCATTCTCAGACACTAATGAAGCTCACCTGAGACCACCCCCCCCCCCCCCCAGGTAAAAGCTCTCCTCTCCGCACACCTGCGAATGCTACCTTGGGCCAGACGGCACAGAACCGCCGTTGAACAGGCCTGAGGTCGAGCCAGTGCTATGCTGTCAGTTTGCTAGTGGGGGGGGGACGACAGACCTCACTACTCTAGGGGCCCCAGGTGTACTCAAACTCTGTACCAGGCAGCCCGGCTGCGGGGCAAATCAGTGCCAAGCTCTTTAGTTGGGTAGGTGGCTCTGAAAAGAGCCGTTGGGTTACTGGAAGAAGCCTCCAACCGAACTGTTCACTTTTTCTTGGGTGCCGCCTTCTTGGGCTTAGTTGCGGTCTTGGGCTTGGTCACCTTCCCTTTGGCAGCCTTGGGCTTCACTGCCTTGGCCTTGGCAGGGCTCTTGGCTACCTTCTTGGCCTTCACCACCTTCGGCTTCTTCGGGCTCTTGGAAGGCTTCTTGGCGACGGCGGGCTTCTTCGGCTTCTTGGGAGTCTTGACAGCCTTCTTGGCTGAGGCCCCAGCAGTCTTCTTGGGCTTCTTGGTGGACCCCGAAGCCTTGGCCTTCACGGACACCTTGGTGGTCTTGGCCTCCGCCTTCTTGTTGAGCTTGAAGGAGCCAGCAGCGCCGGTGCCCTTGGTCTGCACCAGGGTGCCCTTGCTCACCAGGCTCTTGAGCCCCAACTTGATGCGGCTGTTGTTCTTCTCCACGTCGTAGCCGCCCGCAGCGAGGGCCTTCTTGAGGGCGGGCAGGGACACGCCGCTGCGCTCTTTGGAGGAGGAGACAGCCTGCACGATGAGCTCGGACACCGACGGCCCCGCGGGCTTCTTCTTAGGCGCCGCGGACTTGGCAGGCTTCTTGGTCTTCTTGGCGGCTGCGGGCTTCTCGGGGGCGGCGGAGGCAGCCTGAGAGACCGGCGGCGTCTCGGACATCGCGACTGAGGGGAGGAGAGGCAGGTGACACCAAATCGCAGAAGAGGAGTAAGGAGGCGGTGCGCCCGCGCGGCGTATTTATAGAGGAGGGCCGCGCTGTGATTGGTGCGCGCTAACGCCCGCCCCCTCGGCGCCTCAAGCCCCGCCTCCCGGGGCCCGGGCGCGCCCGCCCGCCCGCCACGGCTCTCGGAGCGCCAGCTCGCTCTGTGCCCCCGGGGCGCTGTCACGCCGCCCCTGCGCGCGCGGGAAACTCTCCCCGGCCGGCCGGCTGCGTGAGGCGGGAGTGGCACGCGCGCCAAAGACACGCCGTGCTCTCCCGCCGCCTCGCCAGGAAAGTACCTCAGCCGGCGAGGCGCCTGCAAATTAGCCAGTCCAACCCCAGCACTTACGCGGTCACGGTGCCGGCGCTTGCTGGTGCTTTTTCCCGTTTTAGCGAAGGAAGTTTTTAAGGGATCCAAGAGCATCGCTTTCCTACGGCGATTCCGCGTTGCGTACCGAAACCTCCAATAAGGAAGCACCTGTGGCTGCCCGACTGAATAAGCCCTGGCATGATATCCAGTAAAGAAAAACAAAAAAATCTAAAGTGTGATCTTAACCTATGACGGCCGTTTGGTTGTTTTTGATCTAGATGAACAGATTTCGAACGTGCCGAGTGAATTCTGGCCAAGAGTGCTTGGAATGTTTGAGTTGGAGGGGAGTTAAATTAAAAAAAAAAAAATGCAAGCACTCAAAGCATCCGAACAGATTCAGCGGATGACGAAATCCCCAGAGAAACCTACGTCAGACTTCTGTACTCGCCCTGTTGCTCTTCGTTAGTGCAGCTTGCAAGGCAGTGGAGTCTTTCCACGCAAATGAGGGATTCTAGACCTGCTTTTTTACTGGTTCTTTACGAAAACACAGTAAGCCAGTCAGAGGGTGGAGTCTGGCCTGCCGCCCTTCGATGCGGAAGAACAGCAGCCAACGCCACAGTGCGCGAGAAAGCAAGTTTGTTCTCTGTGCTTCCGTGGCAGCAAAGCCAAGATGCCAAGTGTTGGGCAGCAGAGGTGTTGGAGAAGTTAATGGTCACAGGAATTTTATTCCGTCTTTCTTAAAAAGCACACACACATGCAGGAGACGTCGTCCTCAGACACCTTAGCCCCAGAGACGGTGAAACTGTAGTTTTAAAGTACAAACCAATCAGAGTCTGGAACGTCACAGGTAAAATATTTCCAGCCAATCACAATTCTTTGTGTACTATAAATACCAGCTCTGCGCGCAGAACCACAGTGTTTCTCCCCGAGAGTAAACCTCCCCTCTTCTCTAGTTTGCTATGGCTCGCACGAAGCAGACGGCCCGCAAGTCCACCGGCGGCAAGGCCCCGCGCAAGCAGCTGGCCACCAAGGCTGCCCGCAAGAGCGCGCCCGCCACGGGCGGCGTGAAGAAGCCGCACCGCTACCGGCCCGGCACCGTGGCGCTGCGCGAGATCCGGCGCTACCAGAAGTCGACGGAGCTGCTGATCCGCAAGCTGCCGTTCCAGCGCCTGGTGCGCGAGATCGCGCAGGACTTCAAGACCGACCTGCGCTTCCAGAGCTCGGCCGTCATGGCGCTGCAGGAGGCGAGCGAGGCCTACCTGGTGGGCCTGTTCGAGGACACCAACCTGTGCGCCATCCACGCCAAGAGGGTCACCATCATGCCCAAGGACATCCAGCTGGCCCGCCGCATCCGCGGGGAGAGGGCGTAATTTGACCAGTCCCAAAGTTTCAAAAGGCTCTTTTAAGAGCCACCCAAAGTTTCATGTGAGGTTGCTGTAACCTTGTATCCCAGGTTTGTTTTTCATGTTAACTTTTTGTTTATGTCTGAACTTGATGTGAATGTTTTATTTTGTCTCCAGTTTTGTCTGTTCGGCTCAAATGTGCTGGGGTCCTCCCTCAACGTAGCAGTTCTAACCTGATCTCCACACCAGCTTCTGTAAATGCATCTGATAATCGATTGAATAACATTTAGTAACTACCTCTTTTTAAAATTCCGAAAAGCAGTTCTGGCCTTTGAGCTTACCATAGCAAACTGTTGGTCAAGTCAAAGCTTTCTCACCCTCATTACAGGAATATCGAATCTTTACCCGAATTAAGAAACAGTATATGCACATTTGTGAATATGAACATATAAGTAGTATTTGAAGATGGTTAGCCTACAGATTTGTAGGGACAATGAAATAGAAAGTTTTTAAAAAGGTTTTATTCTCAGACTATTCTGTAATGCTCTTAAGTATTTTCTTGAATACTTAAGATTTTTTTTTTCACTTAAGTCACTTTTGGAGTCCAGTTTAAAGGATAGTTCATATTTAGGAAATCAGCACTCAACGTATGTCTTCCCACACGTGTTAGAACTAGGTTTAAGTCTTACAAGGCTAGCTTCTGGCTCTACTTCAGAAGTGTTCTCAATATTCATGGTGGGAGCTGATAATGTTCCTGGTCATGAGTTTTATCTAACATTATAATTACAATCTTGCCAGAAATTCCAGCTAAGCCTGTGGCCTTGAGCGTTAGGGCGTGTTTCTTTAAGTCTCACATCAGAAATGATAGGCTAGTATATAAGCATGTCTGAAGGTCACTTGATCTCACTAAAATCCAGATGAACATAACTATTTTCCAACCAAAATTCCAAAGTCTCATCACCATTCTAACAGAATCACGTAAGCGTTGATTGTTTTTTGTTGTTTTATTTGTTCCCTTTTTCCCTTTTTCTTTTTGGTTTTTCCAGACTGGGTTTCTCTGTGTGGTCCTTGCTATCCTGAAACTCACTCTGTAGACCAGGCTGGCCCAAACTCAAAGATCTGTCTGCCTCTGACACCTGAGTGTGGGGACTAAAGGCATGCACCACCTTATCTGACATGAAGGTGAGCTGTAATTGACGTGATGATCAGATGGAGATAAAATGAAGCCCTTCACCAGACATGATACAAATATTGGAACTGTAAACCAAGAAAAAGAAAAGAGAGAGAGAGAGAGAGAGAGAGAGAGAAACATAAACCAAAGCCAAAATGAGAAAACAAAATAAAATAATGTTCATAACTGAAAACAAACAACAAAGACAAAAAAAAAGACTACAAATCCGAGGACTGAACACTTTTGATCCTCAAGTAAAATCTCTGGTACAGCTTTTCAGCACTTTATAGACTCACTCTGTATTGAATAGCACTGTCCTAAAAACAATAAGGGTCCTTGGTGAAGAAAGTAAAAACTGAAAGCTTGGGTCATTAATCGACTCCAATAGACACCTGGTATGAATGACACGAATCAAGCACTAAGAAGCAGTTAAGCTCTTCAGGAGGTTGAAGCAAGAGGATGAGGAATGTGAGGCCTCAAATAGTGAGTTACAGGTCAGCTGGAGCAACAGAGTGACATCTTGTCTCAAAACTAACAAATGAAAACGTGGTCAGACTGAATTATTGCTTACAATGGTTACGACCTTTCAAAGTAATTCCTCTCACTTCAAACTAAAGGATTTCCAGCAGATAACTACCAGCAGATATTCCTAGTCAGTCTCATAACAAACAAATACAATTACCATCTTCTGCGAAATAGTCTGTACTAAAATGACCATCTTTGTCTTCTTCCAAGGTGTTTGTCTTTCAGATAGTAGGCAGAAGTTCTGAGAGGCTAGCCTCGGTTAGACTCTGAACTTCGTCAGAACCGGTATGAGGAGACATAGGTAGGGTGAGCCAGTAAGACATCAGATGTTAAAGATTCTCTCTGAACTTCATGGCATTGTTTCCATAGAAACAGTCAGATACTACCTCAGAGCATATGTTTTTGTTTGACATAGACTATTTAGTTTAAGAGCTGTATGGCTGACGAGCATTTGAAATTTAACTAGTCCTGTCCAAACCGTGCTTCAAATGTAAAGTATATTCCAGACTACCGAGACTTCATATAAAAAAGAAAAATGTTGACAGGATATTTTCCTATTACTTGTTGAAATTATATTTGCTTATCCTAGGTTGACAGAATTAAAATAGGCTTCCATTGTTTCTTTTTAGTTTCTAATGCAATATTAGAAACTTTTAATTAAATACGCTTCATACAATTGTGTGGAAAATTATTACTATATAGAAGATAATGATGGTGACTCATAGATCAGAAGCTAACTAATTGAATCCTTAATGTTGCCACACCTCCATTCTTAATCTCTAAATTGGGAGTAATAATAACACCCGCCTCAATGTGCTATGCCAAGACTGTGTTGGGAAATAAATGTGTAATGAACAGCTACTGTGTTGGTCTTGCTACAAAAAAAAAAAAAGGGGGGGGGGAGCCCAGGAAATGCTAGCTCTCCACTATCAGCCCTTAATCCCTGCTCCCTTCCAAACTCCACTAATGGTGTGATTCTTGAATGCATGTCTTCTGCTCATCTCTAGCTGATATTTCAAGCACAAAGCTATTGCAGGGGAGGATGTAGGTCTGTGAAGAAATGAGAATTACACTTCAGTGTTTCCTGTGTTGACATGAGGACTACATTCAACTAAAATTCTGTTTGTCTCTTACCTACCTGAAATCAGAACAAACTTTGTAAAGGAAAGAATGGAGATTCTTATAGCTGGAAAAGGAGAGCAGTCTCTACCACCCCGTATGTCCAGAGGGCAATGAGGTGAGGCCTTACTCAGAGAACAAGGTTGTCAACATGGTTAGCATTGCCTCCTACTGGTTTCACCAACTGTGTCATCTTTGGAAACAAGAACCTCACTTTCCCCCTGGCTACCATAAATCTAAGTTCCTCGGGCTAACTTCATCTATGAGTTTCATTCTTTTCTGTGAACTCTGGGCTTATAAAATATGAATGGATTTTGGATTTTTTTTCTCCTGTTCATCTGACCTTTATCAGTTCATGGGTCATGAGTTACTCAAAAATAGAGGGAGAGTCCTTGCTGACAATTTCATAAACATAATCAAAATGAGAAAATAATTTTTTTGTAAACAGAGCAATTTTTAGGCTAAAGATTAATGGCTGATCAGACCTATGTCAGTCACCTATTGGACCATTTGTGTTGTGAGGGGAATGAGGAAAAAGAACAGGGGAAGGGAGGGAATGTAATGTTGCATCTAAAGGTTGTGGAAATGTTATAATTTTTAGCTCCCAAATAATTAAAAGAAAGTGTTCCATATAAAATGTACAGGTGGGTACTGTGGATATAGCTCAATAGGAGATCTTTTGTCTAGCATACACAAGGCCCTTAGTTTAACCTCTAGCACAGGGGAACATATAAAAGGAATTATTTTTTCTTGGGATGATTCTTTACATGTCTAACTCTTAGAGTGTTGAAATCAAGTCAATGCAGAGACTCAAACTTACCTGAAGAAAGCGCACCGTAGTGGATAGTCTGAGTAGTGTCATTAGTTTGAGATTTGCTATTACTATCCTTTTTATTGTTGTTGTTAAGTATTTACTGGTGATGGAACTCAAGGCCTTCCCCAAGACAGAGAAGTGTTCTACTACTGAGCTATATCCTCACAGCCTCAGTCTTACTTAAAAACTATTTGAAGTAACATTTTTGTTGTTTGGATGCTTGGTTATTTTGGGTATTTTGTTGTTGTTTGTATGTATGTTTGTTGATTTGGTTTTATCTTGTTTAGACAGTCATGCTACAAAGCCCCAGCTATCTTGGAATTCACAATGTAGACCTTGAACTCATAGAGATAACTTGTCTCTGCTTCTGGAGTGCTGGGATTAAGAGCCACCACACCCAGAAGGTTTTGTTTGTGTTTTCTTTTTCAAACAAGATTTCGCTGTGTAGTTCAGATTTGGTCTACAACCCAAGATCCTCCTACTTTAGTTTCCTAAGTGTTGGCTTTACAAATGTGCCACCACACCCTGTGCTATATTTAGCAGCCACGATTAGATCTCCAGGTTGCTACAGCTTGATTCAGGTCAGGGAGGTATTTCCAGTGACAGGAGTTCATGTGGTACAGGGAGGAAAAGGGAAGGACAAGAAAATATAGTCCTGCCCATCTCATATCTATGTCCTCCCCTACAATTTTGCACTTTTCTACTCTTTTTGCTCAACAGATTTGGTTTTTTCCTTTCTGGTAGCTGTAGGACAAGTCCCAGTCAAGTAATATCAGTTTACCTCTACTCCATCTTTTAACTATTTTTAAATTTTTAATTAATTTATTTTTGTTTCAGGATCTCAACTATGTAGCCCTGCCTAGCCTAAAACTCACAAGACCAGGCTCACCAGAACTCATGGAGATCCCCACTGCCTCTGTCTCTAGATTCTTGAGATTAGTTTTCTCACCACACCCAGCTCAATTCCATCTTAAATGGAAACGTTCTCATTATTTCAACTAAGCCAATAACATCAAAAACAATCAGATTTTCCACCTTCATAATTTCAGTATATGACATATTAACAATTCATATTTTAAAATCTCATTATAAACAAAGGTCTGAAGTCATTCTGAAGTTCTATTTCTCTATATTGTCTCCACAGCCACAGGTGAATAACTGAACATTGGAAATAATATAAATTATGGACTGAGATGCACTACGAGTAGAAAAAAAACTATATATCACAAAGATGCAATATAAGAAACCAAGAATGTAGAATACCACCTACTTTATATTCATTTCACATTGAATGACAAAATTTCAGTGTAGAAGATTTAAAGTGGGTTTCATGTGTTTCTTTTTATTCCTTATGAATAGTGCTTTTAGATTTTAAATTACATACGCACCTTGCTCACCTTATGGATCAATAAGCAGATCTGTTCTAAAATTAATTCATTTGTGCAGAGATTGCTTCAATAATGAGCGTTAATGTTTTCATGGGATGTCCCTAAATGAAGCAAATCTCAGTGTTACTGTCAACAATAAAGGTGAATTTCTAGGATTAAAATTAAGAATAGAGACATAGTTGGAGAAGATTTAAATATTTATAAAGAGATAAAACAAATACCTGAACAGAACGCAGTCTCAATAAAAAAGCCAAGAAGCTTTCGTCTCAGTGATGGGATATTAGAAAACATCTCAAAACACATATGTAAACACCAAAGAAAATGAAAATAGCTGGGCGTGGTGGTAAAGACCAGCAACCCCTGAGTCAGGCAGGAAGGTCAGGAGTTGCAAACCAGGGGCTACAGGGTGAGACCTTTTCAACAAAATGAATAGCGAAAACGAGTGCTGGGGCCACGTTTCAGTGGCAGGAAACCCGCTACCATGTTCAGTCCCCTGAACAACTAATTAACTATTAATTCAAATATAGAAGGAACGCCTTAAAAGATCATGAGAAACCAGGAGGTATTTAATCCCAGCACTGGGTAGAAGGAAGCAGCCAGCCAAAACTACACAGAGAAACCGGGGCCGGGGGCGGACACAGACAGACAGGACAAAGAGGTGGGGGCTAGGAAGGACAAGATTGTGAGGAGAAAATTAGTTTTTATCCCCCAGTGAAGTCATGAGGTATCAGCTTACCAAACATTATTTGAATCCTCGTCCAGAACCCTCCACACTTAAGATAGCACTGTGAATAGTTAAGAGTGTAATTCTACCTTAGAAACTAACAGAAAGATCCAAATTTAGCCAAAGCAAAGACGAAACAAAAGCTGGGAAGAACCGAGAGTTCACAGTCCTGAGAGCTTGGGGTTTGTGAGGATGAATGTCTATTCCACTTTGCACTGAAGGACTGAGAGAAAACAGGTTTTTCTGATCTCTTTTATCCAGGTGATGAACTCTTAGGATACCAAAGTAAACACCAGATCCATTGTTATTGAAATGGTTGTTCTGAGTCTCTAAAAGTCTTCAGTACAGGAACAGCAACAGCCAGGCTCCAACAAAAACCTGTTTGGATTTAGTGAAAAGCAGGAATCTCAATCTCCCCATCGGGCAGAAAAGGCTGAGAGAACTAAAGGACCCAACGCTGAGTGAAAACTAAAGGTTTTTATTAGAAGCATCCAACACACTTGCAACACACAGGCAGGCAGTCACTTATCCTTTGCTTAACATATCGGAATGCACAGAGCACAGCAGGAAAAACCTCGGTTATTTCCGCGAGGCCGATCTCCACCGACCACACACCCCATCGCTTAAAGAAACCCTACGGGCAAACGGGGAAGGGAGGCAACGCCAGTTGGGCGGACGAAACGATCGGCCAATGGTCGTGCACTTGGGAGTGGGAAGAAGAGAAAAAAAATGGCTGACCAGGCTGTGACGCAGCTCGGACCGCCCCACCCCGCCCCGCGGAGGAGACGAACCGAAAGTCAGGAGAAAAGCACCCGGTCCCGGGTGCCACCTCACCGGGAGGACGGGAGGACGGGTCTCCGGGGAGGCGGATGTGGGCCGGGCCCCAGCCCGCTCGCACACTTCCTGGCCGACGCCGACGGGCACCGAGGCGCCCGGAAGTCCCGGATGCGCCTCCACACAGGAAGCGCCAACCTGGGGGAGAGACCGGCGGCCGCGGGCTGGCACCCAATCAAACCGAGGACCGGAGACCGGGAGGGGGTGGGGAGCGTCCAACCCGCGGACAGGGCGGAACTTTCAAACCACCTCACGGGCCGGCAGCACCCGGCGCTGCCCCGCGGGGGACCCCGCCCGCCCCGGAAGGAGCCCCGCGCAGCCTGCCGCGGTGCCCCACCCCGCAAGCGTCCCAGCTCTCTCGAGTCGGAGTGGTGGCTCTGAAAAGAGCCTTTTTTGGATCGGGAGGAGGAAGGCAGCCTACTTCTTCTTGGCCGCCACCTTCTTGGGCTTGGTGACCTTGGGCTTGGCAGCCTTCGGCTTCACGGCTTTGGACGCGCTCTTGACCTTCTTGGGCTTGGTCACCTTCGCCTTCTTGGGGCTCTTGGCCACCTTCTTGGTCACGGCGGCCGCAGCCGGCTTCTTGGCCTTCTTGGGGGTCTTCTTGGCGGCCTTCTTGGGGGTGGCGGCACCGGTCGCCTTCTTGGGCTTCTTGGCCGCCCCCGCGGGCTTCTTGGCCTTGGCCGCGCCCGCCTTCTTGGCTTTGGGCTTGGCCTCGCCGGAAGCCGCCTTCTTGTTGAGCTTGAAGGAGCCGGAGGCGCCGGTGCCCTTGGTCTGCACCAGGGTGCCCTTGCTCACCAGGCTCTTGAGCCCGAGCTTGATGCGGCTGTTGTTCTTCTCCACGTCGTAGCCGGCGGCCGCCAGCGCCTTCTTGAGCGCCGCCAGGGACACGCCGCTGCGCTCCTTGGAGGCGGCCACGGCCTTGGTGATGAGCTCGGACACCGGGGGGCCGGACGCCTTGCGGCGCGCCCCGGCGGGCTTCTTGGCAGCCTTCTTCTTGGCCGGCGCCTTCTCCGCGGGGGGCGCGGCGGCGGGGGCGGCGGGAGCGGTCTCCGACATGGTGAGGATCTGGAACTCGGGAACTAGTGGCACAAACACCGATGGAGTAGCGCAGGCCCGGCCGCCGTATATATAGAGCGCAGGCGCGCGCTGATTGGTGCGCCGGCGGCCTGCCTGGCTGGCAAGTTCTGAGCAGCCGCGCCGCGCTCAACTTGTGTTTGTTACACTTCATAAAAGGGAGAAAATATCAAAATGTCTCGCACCAAATCTCTCGAGTCTGGTCGGGAAAGGATCCGAGGAGCCTCGGGCTTCAGAATATAGGTTTCTTTTCTCCTCATCTCTAAAGACAACGCGCCTAGGCGTCCCTAACTCCCCCAACTCCAAAGGAAGTCCCGGGCAGATAGAGACCACTTTCTGTTTTTCTTCTAAATTACCTGGTCGCTCGTTTGCCCCTGAAAGTTCTTTTTCTCAGGGATTGTAGGGCACATGCTTCCTTTAATTTAGGGACAAAAACAGAACGATTTCCGCCTAAATTTTTACGACTATTCTGTTTCTTCGCAAGGGAAGTAACACAAATGCTTGGTGACTTCTGAGTATAGACCCACAACAACCATGGACCAGGACAAGGATTTCCAGCCTAAAGCAGTTGGGGCAAGTTGAGAGGGAGTTCATGGGCCTTGGGGGTGTTCCATGTGGTGGGGGGCTTAGGACTTAGATACCTGATTTAAAGACACTGACTCTCAAATGCTTCTCACTGGTGGGGGCGGGGCACCCTTTTCACTCCTCTGAAGGGGAAAGGCTGGGCTGTATTTTTAAAGCCCTTGTTTCCCCTCTGAGTTTTGTAGGGTAGGGGGTCTAGCCCTGAAGAATAGAAATAATAAGAAGGAAAAAGAAACCCCATTAAACCTGCATGAGCCCCCCCCCCCCAAAGCCTCAGTTAGGGACTTTGATGTATCTGTTTTTAAAACAACGAGCAAATAGTTGTTTATCATGCTGCAATACAGACATGAATTTCAGACAGACATGAAATTCTAATCTAGAAATCGCTTCTCTTGGTACAGGAGGGCCTTCTGTACTTGGAGACTGTAGGGTACGGATGGAAATAAAGGCACTGACTTTACTAAAGCCTTCATTTGACTTCATATGACTGATCTGAAGGTTTGAAATAGAAAATTAGCAAATTTTCAACAGAAAGAGACAGGATATGTACAAATTATCATGCCTATGTGGTAGACAGCTGCATGTCACCTCTTCACAGCTCCTCTGAATATGGCAATCTGTATTTCAGTCAAGTTTGCTCTGTTAAAGTGTTTGGCTTCATATTTTACCCTTTGGCTCCAAATAATTAACAACTGGGTTTTTTTTTTGTTTGTTTTCTATTTTGTTTTTGTTGTTGCTAGAGAAAATGCAAGGTAAACACTCTGCTTGTAGAATTGATACAATTCTATACTTAGGGGCAAATAACGTTCTCCTAATTTTATCAGAAATCTCTGTTCAAGAATTTGTCTACGTGAAAATGTGTGGTGAGGTTGTTGGCATTGAAGTGTGGTAAAGTCACAACATCATACAAATTGGATTCGGCAATGTTTGGAAAACAAAGCGTATTTTGTAAGACTGAGAATGGTCCTGTGGTTTCACTTAATAACATTTGTTTAGCACTTGCAAACAGCATCTTCCGAGGCTTGTGTCCTCTGGGAATTAACAGCCTAATGAGATTAGGGATGGATGAGGGCCAGCAGTGGAACCAACTCAGAGCTGCCATCCTGTATGGATTTTGGAATAAGGATTTTAAGAAATTATTCAAAGCATACAAACAATTGAAGCACCTTTAACTCGCCAACATGATTTAGTAAAAGAAATAAGAACACGTCACTTGGCTTTGATTACTTGGAAGTAAATGAATGCCATCCTCATCTGAAAACTGTCCATCTCCCCCAGGGAAATAACTGTGTGTGATCCAGCTCTCCAACCTGCTCATCTTCCCATCACTGTAAATTGGCACCTTATTTTTAAATCTTAGACTTGTAAATTTTCAGTCTTGTGATTTGTTTGCTTATTATGACCCTTCAAGTTGAATCCATCAAATCAAAGCTCTTTAAAATCTATTAATTAATAAAGTTTGCCTGGTATAGATGCAAATTTTTTGCCATAGGAAAGATTACCCTGAGAGCTAAGTTTGTATTGCACAATAATAAACTGAATATCTGACTTTTCAGCCTCTTGCAGCACTCCTGCCTTCCCCCAGTAAATACTCACTTCATCATCCTCTGTCCTTTGAACAGACTTTGTCTTCCAGCTTGCTTCCTCAGTTCACTCACTCTTCAACATATATGAGCTTACCACATGTAGCATTTATATGTGCGTCAGACTTTTAACAGTTTGAAAATTACATGCGGATTCTTGATTAGTCAGACTGTCCTGAGGGCATCTGATCAGAATCTTCAGAAGTCACCCTCTAAAATGCAAAATATAAAATTTGGAACATCGACTCTAAAGCACTTAATAAGTGTGCCATGGAGTCTTAGATTTTGAAGCTTATGGACCAGAAAACTTCTGTTAGTATGAGCTCCAAGCAAAAGTTCACATAAAGGATATGACCTTCCCATTCAATATCACTGGCTAGCCACCAATGAAATGATTATACTGCTGAAGCGTTGTGATGATGTAATCTTGTATGTTTCCAACTATGGTGAAGATTGCAGGCAGCTAAGCTTTTATCATGCCATATCTTCAGACTGTGTTCCCAGCAAAGGGCAGAATTAAATATGCAGAAAATGCACAGGAGCTGGAGACAGAAAAGCTTAAAGGCAGGACAAGTGTAAGGAACCAGGCCTTACACCTTTTCTTTTCCATATCCTCCCTCCAACATTCCAGAGTGGAGAAGCAGCTTTTACAAGTAGCTAGTTAACTACTATCAGTTAACTACTGTATACCCCCAACAGATACTGACATGGATTCCAACTTGGAGTGATTGAAACCTGCTTTTTCCAAACACATCAAGGGATGATGCTAACAGCCATAGACACCTTATTAGCAATGCCTGTCTCAAAATGACAAATAGTAACTGATCCACTGTGATACAATTTTGGCAGCATAAGAAAAATTATACAAGTGATGTCTAGAAATAACATTGAACAATACTTAATTAACTTATTTTTTCAATCTCTCCAAACGGATATTCAGCAAGATTAAAACTTTGCTACAATGTTTTCCTGATTGATACCTGAACACCTGAAGGATCAAATCCTAAGTAACTGAGCTTTTATGCCCGAGTCATCCTCAAATGCAATGGAGAAATTGACATGCAAAATAGTAATAAAGCACACAGGTGGGATATAACACAAATAGAGAATTACAAAAAGAGACATGCTGCAAAACTTTCTCCTGACACTTTGGAATTGCTGACAGAGCCCTGGCACAAACCTTCTTATTCTCCTCCTTCTCTTCCTCCTCCTCCTTTCTCTTCTTATCTTTCTCCTCCTCCTCCCCTTCCTCCTGCTCCTTCTTTTTCAACTTTTTTCAGAAGACTTTAAAACAGCTTCAAAAGTTCAAGTACACCTTCCTAAGATACAAATGAATCGATCATGACCATATACATGTTTTCTACCTCTCCAGTCTATGCTTACAATGAAGGCACAAGAGGGAGACAAAAGTTGGACAATCACCTTGATCAGAGCCAACGCATCACCTCACACATGGTTGTGTGGTAGGAAATATGTAGCTAAATGTATCAAGATGTTGCCTTGTCACCCTGAGCCACCAGCATGCTGTGGACACATTGCACCAGACACTCTCTGAGCACTATTTAAGCGCAGCCAGCACACCTGCAATGGACATAAAAAAAGATCAACCAGCCAAGGAGAGCATCTCCTCTCAAGGCCTGGTTCCTTCGAGGACAGGGCCAGACAAGCACTGAAGAACAAGAACTCACCCAGCACTGAGGCTAGGGAGGCAGGAGGGTCAGAAATTCAAGACAGAGTTCAAGGCAGACCTGGACTGTGTAAAGCCTGTCTTAAAAAGAAAACAAGTGAGAATAGCTCCTAATCTACTATTCTCCTATCTTCAAGCTCTTAAATTTCAAGCCCTTTCCTACTCCAATCTTGCAAGTCCTCTGAAAATCTTTTAACATGCTAAATTTGGGGTGTACCATTTTAGGAATTGAAGTTAGGTGTTAATTAAATTAGGTAATCTGGTAATTGATGACCATGACTTATTTGCTAATCCTTTATGATATAAATGTAATGAAGTGCATTTGTAACTATATACTATTCATATGCATGCTATGTATTTTACACTCGAGAATTCTATCTTGTGCTAAGAGAAAACATACAACATCAGCTGGAAAGTTCTTATGCTTAAGCCCATTTGCACACCATACCAGGCTAATCCAAAATGTGCAAGGTTGCTTTTGGGTGGATGTGACAACTTGCCGGTGATGTCCAGAAAGAAGAGACACAACTTTGAAGCTAAAAGGCTTGATTTAATCCCACTTCCTCCATTCTGTGATAAGACCATACCCAGCTCCTGAGCAACAAATTCCACCTCGAACATAGTGAGGATTAAGTAATGAGTGCTTCCCACCCAGCTTTGAAGTAAATGAGTCACTCCTCATTTAACAGTTATCACCACTAGACCCTTAAAATTTGAGAACTATCAGTTGTGGGCATGATTCTCAGAAATGTAGCCCTCTCCTTAATTTGGAGAGATGGATGAAAGTAAATTGACTCCCAAAAGTTGGAGACTAGTTTGGACAACATATGAGATAGAGCCTTTCTCAAAAGGGGAAAAAAAATCAATTGAACCGAACTTGAACAAGGTAAGACTTGAAATTTTCTATATATAAACTACACAAATCAAAACACATTCCTACCAGTTAACCAGTTACCATTCTGTTTCCTTTTATGTAGACAGGTTTTTACCCTGCAAATACATGTTAGTGTGGAGTTTGCATATGCTAGGAATCACAGCCAGTCAACATGTCATGCTGTTTGCTTTAGTAGACACTAGATGGCAGTCCAAAACAACGCTACCTTTAGATGCCGTTCAAATTTCTCTTGACCTAGATAATTATTACTGGCTATGTTCATATTTTTCTATC